ATATTTTTGCTTCTTAATAACCCATTAAAATCATATACAGCGCGGTTGCCAGACATAATTATTTTCTGTATTTCTTTCTCACAATTAGGTTCTCTTGTGAAGACATTTCTTAAATACTCAAATCTTTTAACTTCTTCGAATTTATATTGTGTTATCTTTGCTGTTATCATTATTATGTAATGCCCCCGAACGAATTTCTTGTTTGTGCATTCCATATACTTCGTTTTTGCTTCATTTATATACATTAGCTTAGTTTTTTATCCTCTCTTTCAGTTTCATGACTGTTTCAATCAGCTCTATTTTCCCTCTAGCTAAGCTTACCAAGTGGTTCGCAAATGCTAAGCAGTGATGTTTTTTTGTGGTAGATCAGACCTGTTCCATTAATGTTTGCCTCCTGTATAACCTTTTCTTATTATGCTAAACATTTTAGATGATAATGAACCTCAGAGATTTCGGTTATACTATTTTTTATCTTGACTTTATTCGGTGTTCTTTGAAGAGTTAATGGTGTTGTAATATGTTATTAGGAAAAAAGTGAAGAAAAAATGCGGTAAATTGATACAATGTCAAAAAACACGTTAACTATCATTACAAATAATGGGTTCGAGCGTTGTTGACTACGTTCCACGCCTATGTCAAATGTCATGCGCAGATGTCAAATGTCATGCGCAATATCATACCTTGTGTTCATTGTACCATGATCCATATTAGTCTCTTAACATTTTGTTCTGACTGACACCATGCATTATAAAGCGACTGATCATTTTATGAAAGTTGTGTATTCTCTGCGAACATCGCATTATTCTGTTGGACTAGTACTGCGTCCGTTTCGATATGAATAGGAAACATTATAAATATTTAAATATTTCGCTTACCTAAGTCTATTTGAATTTATCGTGATAGCTTACAGCCATGGCCATTAATATCACTCACGACTAATGATATCTTTATTATTTAATTACCACTGATAGTGGAGCTCCGAATACGTCTATAGACTTGGACGGTCAAATGAATAATACCTATGAAATAAAACACCGAAAACAATGTACAAGCTTTATTTAGAAATGGCACCATACATAACTGACTGTATATAATGTACATATACATAAATGGAATAACTCGTGTCAAATATAACATATTAAAAATACCTTACAAAGTAATGGAATCAAAATATCAGACTAGGAAATGTACACAACTTATATTAAATTATAAATATTCCGACAAGATCACACTATCTCACATATATCTCGTTTTTAAAAAAGCAAATTCTTTTTTAAATATCTTTGGCATGTCTACGAAAATAGTACGAGAGGCAACTTCAGCCACGCCAGTTCAAGTAAACTTGTAATCTACAAAAACAATTGTTCATTTATTTATCATGATAATATTCCAAATAAAATCGATCAATTATAAAAGCACATAATTCAAAAGGGGGTCCTTCAAGTTTTAATGTGCTAAGAGTAATTTTCAATTACTGTTCCCGTAAGGATATAGATTAGGATATATTTTTTATGATTACTGATTTTTCTATGACTGTTATTTCGATACCGTTGTTAGGGTATATTCATATATTACATCAAAATGACCATTGAAAGGCTGAAAAAACCAAAACGTGATTATCTTAATTACAATACACGTACAGGTCCAACAATTTTTATATTCTTGGTAAGGTACTTATTTCCTATAAGTCAATCAGTGAATCCTACTGTAGTCTTGAAAGAATACGAAGGACATCTGCAGATGTAATGCCAGCATGAGACTGGACCACACAAAAATCAAAACTCTTGTCGGCCAAGAGTAAAGTACAAAGTACCGGGCAACTAGAGACAGTTAATAATAGCATTCAATGTTTGTATAGCTACATATATCTAGGAGGAGATGTTAACTCCCAATTAGACGATTTAAATTGAATTTAAAATACGAATTGAGTTCAAAAGCTGCAAGAATCAACTAATAATAATAATGCAGAAATATTGCTAGTTAATAAACTTACTATTCAAACAACACTTATTGATGTGGCGATACCAAACACCAATGATTTACGTGTTAAATACAACGAAAAGATCGCCAAGTACAGAGATCTAGAAATACAAATCAGGAGACAATGGAGAATGGAAAGTACCCAGACAGTACCTATTATTCTATTCACTACTGGTGTTATTCCCAAAAACCTCCTAGAGAACATACAACCACTGGTTCTACATGAACATCAGTATAAGGACATGCAGAAAGTTGTACTCCTCGCAACCGAAAATTTTTGGGAGATACTCCAACATACCAAGTTATCTAGGACTCGATAACACGGAACAGTTTCACGAGAGCTCAATCCTTTTGATACCGTAGGTATCTGGGAATCTGGGATGAGTGAATTTTTCCCTTAGAGGGAGTGTGAGCCGTATGGCTACATAAATATGGATACATAAATATTATTCATTAGTTCGAATTTAGAGACATTATATTAACTAATCAATTATAGTAGAGATAAAAATATTACACTCAAAAGAATATTGCTCAATAATTTGCTTAAAATATATCTATAACATGCTTAAAAGATATCTACATCTTCGACGGCAAGTCGAAGGGAAACAGACAGAAAAATAAACACACTTAGTTACCACTCTTATTCAACGTGTGAGCCTAAATTTCAGAAAGCATTATCGTAAGTTGCGAAAGATTTTGTGATCAGTGCTATAACGATATATATTTAAACAATATGGAATAGTTGCAACTCATACTGAAAATCAAACTGAAGAAAAGAAAAATAATATGTAGGACCATAAATCGTTAAATTTGACATGAAACTTCATGACATGAAAAAAATCATTCTTGAAAATAATTTATCTAAAACGCATATCACGATAAACTTTTAACACGGGGATGTCTTTTTGAATTGTTTGAACGTTTTCATAATGGCCGAGAAGACGTTGTAGACGATTGCCGCCCAGGTCGCCGTTCTGTATATAGCTTAAATATTCGTGAATAAGTAAAAACTCGGCATTAATTTATCAATGGGAGTGAAGTACAGCATTCCATTATTGTAACTCATATCTTATTCACTTCAATCGCAATGGACAGAATAAGACTACCAGTATATTTTTTTGAATGATGAAAAATTCGCATGGAGTATTGCAGGTATAGGGGAGGGGTATATATTGAGGGCGATAAGTGAATATGTATGAAATTAAATATGTTTTGTGTCTCGTTATTTAATACCACATCTGGTAATTTATGATTATTTTTCATCCTCAATGAAGCAGCAGACCGTGCCATCGACGAGAAGAGACCATGGTGTAGGTGTTTTGGAAAATTAAAAAAAAATTATTTGATAGGATATCTTGAAAAATATAAAACCGTAACTATTCTCAACGTTTAATGAAATTGCACGAAAGCGTTCGTGAAAACAGATTCAGCCTAAAGGAGAGAAAATTCTATCAAGGAAATGTACCTACCCAAAAAATAGTCTTGGCAATTGGAAAATTGAGAGATGTGCACTATGAAGTGCTAGAACATCCACCTTATTCTTCAAACTTGGCTCCCTCTGACTTTCATCTATGACGAAAAATAAAGTTCTTAGTTCAATTAAAATCCCATTGTGGCTGTAAATGAGTAGTTTGCAGCAGTTCCAGAGGAACAATACAAAGAAAGTAACATCACTTAAAACCACTGGATGATATGTATTAATATTAGAGGATTATTGTGTTAATAAATACACATTTTTCGAGGGTATAAAGTATCGATTTCGCTAACAGGCAAATACTTTACTATCCAGCCTCTTATTAATTCTTTATTCTAGTGTTTTACAAATGTAGTATATCTCAAGGTAATTTCAGCCAAACATCGGATATTGATTTATAATAGCCAAATATATTTTAGAAAAACTGTACCTAAAATTTTTTAAATATAAAATCCTGGAACATAGGACTAAAAATCTGCCGAGCACCGAATAAAACTACAATAAAAACTAACAGTCCGACTGGAAAGCATTGCACATTTCACGGTAAGTACACAATCATATAGAAAATCAGCCCTATATTTAAAGAAAAAGAGCAACAATATCGCAATATTTTACACATTGGTGATGTTACATGACAGACGTTCGTGGTACGATAACCAATTACACGTTTTATTAATAAGTGTGACACGTCTATTATTATAAATATTTTTTACACAAACGATCATTTAAATGTTTTCTTACTTTTGGACATCGTAATAGAAAATTGCCTCTTGTGCTATCAAGAAACAAAGAAAATTTCTCCTATATGCTTTTAAAAAATAAATTTTATTTATACAATAGGCATAGGCTTTTTCGTTTACTTAATCACAATAACTCTTGTTTATAACTTAATGAGGACATAAATAGATCTTTAAAGAAACAACCGATCGAAAATGAAAAAAAATATAACAAATAGTACGGTTTTATGCATTTTTGATTGTAGTTTACTACACGATACGCACACTAGTAAAACAATCTAATTTTGCTGCAGTAATTTTCTTATATACAAGTGCTAGTTACTCGAATATCAAAGTAACCGACTGGTTAGATGTTTCACACACACACACTCGTAGTACACAAATCAGAGTTCAACAAGCAACACTTTCTCGTACATAAGTCGTTTATGGATTCCTCTATGAACCTTTGGTATTTCTCCCGTCTGATGTTGAGAGTAGTTTGAGCTAACCTATAAGGTTTTATTTCCACTAATTATTTGATCAGAAAATACATATTGAAATGATTTGATGTTAAAATGTATTTATTTAAGGGAGATTCTGTCAGTTAAAGGTTAAAGTTTTAGTTTGCATTTCCGAATCGTTGAATTTAATTCGTTTTATTCACTTTGTTTGCTTTTGTTTTAATTATTTAGTAAATGTAATCAGTTTTAAATTAATCAATATTTAGCCGAGTAGAACTGTTAAACTGATTAGTCACCAAATAATTAAAATAAAAGCAAACAAAGTGAATAAAACAAATTATAAAGAATTAAATTCAACGATATGCAAATGCAAGCTAAAAATTTAATCTTTAACTGAAATAATCTTCATTAAACAAACACAGTTTAACATCAAATCATTTGAATATGTATTTTCTAATCAAATAATTGATACACACTAAAATTGATCGATATTTAGACTAGAAAAACTGTTGGTTGGATTATTTAGACCGCAAATAATAATGATAATACGTCGTTAACCCTTTCAGTTACAGCGTCCTCCTACGAGGACACAGGTTATTAAGCATCATATTGCCGAATAGTGGCATTTAATCCTCCGAAATCACATGTTTCCTGTAAAAGGACAGTGTATTTACTTATTAACGAATGATGGTGTTACCTATGAGCAAACACAATACCAATGACAAAGTTAATTACTTCAGTTTTGCGCGAAATGTCCTCCAAAAACGTGCAAATTTGTGATTGATGTATTTACAAGTAAAATTAAAAACTGAAATATATATAAAATTGGTTTTATTGTAAGTAGAAACTGAATCAGTTATGCTTGTTTATTTAAATATACACTTAGTGTTCTCGTAAACTTTGTATATTTTTGTAAACAATGACGTCCTCCAGAAAGGACAAACGTACTTCATGACACAAGTTGTGAAACGAATAAAAATATTTGTTATGTCTGGTATGACTTTATAATTTACCAAGGAGCAAATACCAAGATAAGTGGGGAACGTTTAGTACGGGAACTGCAACAATAATGCAGATAGCTGAGAGAGACACAGAAAAAAAAAACATGGACTGTACGTCAATAATTATTTTAGTACATATATTATCTTCCAGTTTCTTAATTCAAAAATATTTTCGCTGTTGGCAGAGTTGCTAAAACTCCAATAAAAACCGACAAATACATGAAAAAAGAGGGAAGAGGTACTTGTGATAAAGTTGAAAGTAAAGACGGAGTGGTTATCACGAAATAGTTTGATAATCAACCAGTGATTTTTGCATCTAACTTTGTTGGTATAGGACAACTGGGCAATTGCCAAAGATGACAAAAAAAAACAGTATATTAATGTATTCCAACCTGAAGCTGTTAGATTTTTTTAACCAAAGCATGGGGGAGTTGGAGCACGGAAAATGGTTCGTTAGATTACACATGCCATTGACATGACAGTGGATAATTTCAGTGGAAAATCTCTGGAAATTTTGACAAACTGTTGCAGAATATTTGATACAGCATACAGAACGGAAATGAATGTAGCGTTCAATACGTTGAAATCCGAAGTGAATCCCATCCTTCCACGGAGATTAGGCATGATGAATATATACTCCAAAAAATCTTTTACTGTGTCAGTAAATTTCGCTTTCGAATATATCATAACAAATAATACAATTTTGTATTTATTTTTGTGATAGTTTAAGATACTTCAGTTTTTAACTTTTTCTCGAGGCTTTACGGTGACAACCTAAAGTAACTTTGTCCACTTAGAAGGACATTCAATAAACTAAAAACCAAAAGGGCTATAGCCAAATTCTATGATTTCAAATCTTTAAAAAAAATCATAGAAAAAAGCTGAAAAGTTTCAGATTTTCACTTGTATTATTTCTTGTAGGGTGACTGAAAGGGTTAAGTACAATATGTGTTAAACAAAGAAGTAATAAAAAATTAAAACTTTATTGCTTGCATTATATTCAGATCATAATAAAGTATTAGTGGTACCCAATAAGACGTTGTAAAGTTGGTATTAAATTTATAACATAAAATGGTGGGTGGCTGTACAAATGGAAATAGGAAGTACTGATTTCGAAAAGAAAAAAAAAGAAGAGCATTGAAGAAAATCACTGCACATGTTTTTATATATTGCTCGAAGTAAAAGTCTGCGTATCGTTTGAAGTATGCCTTTTATTTGTTTGTATTTATAATTTCGGAGGTTATTATATTTTTAATATTTTCGATCGGTCAGGCTTAACACTAAAACCTTTTCTAAATTAATCATACTAAACTAAAAGGATAATTCCACTTTTGTGGCACGTATAAAAATAACTAACAGTTCATTTTAAATCTAAGAAATGTAACAAAATAGAAAAGAGCTTTACCAAACTGAAAACTATTACTACTTCATTATTTATGTCGATAAATATTAAAAATAATTGAACATATTTAGCGCTTTTAAAACATGTGTTGATTATAATCTCGATGTAGAATATCCGGAAGGAAACTGACATATTACCCGGTAATAAAACTCAGTAAATACTTAGGATACTCTGTTCATCAAGTGAGCAAGTTTAAATTAGTAGGTACAGCAAATGTTAATTATGGTGATCTTTATGTATTCTTTCTAAATTAAATGCAGTAAAAAATATACAATATATTATACCGTAAATGCGAAAAAACTATAAAAACGATAAATCAAACAGGTACAATTGAAAAAATGTCAAGTATTACTAAAAAAAGTAATAGATCGTGCTGGTATCAACTTGCGTGGAGGAAGGGCCCTTCAGTACTTTGCGTAAGGCATACTAGGCGGGGAAGTCCTCAACCCCGACAAGGCGCGTCCCGATGGTTGATAGGGAAAGTTGTTGCAGATATGCAGAACAGGTACGAATAAGGCATAGTCAAATAAGTACCGGCGGATCAACTGAGGACATGGCATTAGGCAGCAGTAATGTCACTACTGGATTAAGGCTGTGGGAACGTAAAAAAAAAATCCTGTAGGATTAATTCTTTAATTCTAGATACTCACAGGCGTCACTCACATTATGAGTCAAACGGCTGTGACACTGCGATGGGGAAGGCAACGAGAAACCACCCTATAAATAGTCCCTAGTTCATTCATCATGGTTAATGTAAATCAATTTGGAGAAGGTACTGATCATGGACTTCAGTTACCAAGATCCGGCAGGGGAGGAGGAACACGAAAACGTAAGGCTTCTCAGGTCGTCAACCCACGAAATCCTTACCAATATTTAAACACTAATAGAGTGTGCACGTGGAACGTTCAAAAAATCTGTACTTGGAATGTTCGAAGTACGTTTGAAGGGAGGAAATACACACCACCATTCAAGAAATGAGAAGACTCAATATTGACATGATGAAAATCAGCGAGATCAGATGGCAAGGCTCGGGACAGTGCTGGGTGGATGAGTATATAGTATATTATTCGGTAAACGATAAAACACATCACTAGAATGGCGTAGCAGTGCTTGTGAGCAAAATGGTCGCTGAGGCTGTGATCAGCGTGCTACCTCTCTCTGATAGCGTCATTCTGATGAAGCTGCAAAGCAGACCCGTTAATACGAACATCATTCAAATTTACGCTCCAACATCAGAAAAGCCAGAAGAGTATATTGAGGAGTTCTATGTACTTGTACAAAAAGCACTAAAACATATCAAGAAAAACCATCATAATGGGTGATTTTAATGCCAAAGTTAGCAAAAGCAGAATAGAAGATATCGTAAAAACGAAAGGGGAAACCGACTTATTCAATTTTGCCAGGAAGAAGATTTTACCATTGCTAACACCTGGTTTAGACTTCCCCCGAGACAATTTTATACGTGGAAGTCACCTGCAGATTCAGCCAACAATATCATCAAAAACTAGATAGGACTTTATTTTCATTAACAAAAGACTCAAGAACAGCTTAACTTCGACGAAGACCTTCCCAGAAGCAGACTTTTCACCGGACCACAACCCATTAGTGGGCCAGATACCACTCAAACTAAAGAAACTTATGAAAAGTAAACCTGAACAGAACCTGGATTATGACACTCTCGAAGGCCCCGAGAAAAACTAGAAACCACTAAACAACAAGAACAAGGTGTAGAACAAAAATGGGGTTATATCAAAGGCGTCATGCTAAATGCGGGAAAAGAACATCTGGGAAAGAAAACAAAGTAAAAAATAGAGAATACATGACTGATAACATTCTGCAGATGATGAACTAAAGGAAATTAGTAAAAAACAGGGACGCGAAGAAATACCAAGAAATCAACCAAACAAAAAAGAAATACGAAGAGCCAAAGAGACATGGATGCAAGAAAAAGGAAAATAAATCGAAGAGCTCCAAGTGAAACACGATCATATAAATATCCACCGAAAGATTCGAGAAGCCAAGAGGAGAAACACACACACTTCCTCATAAACAAAGACGGGAACCTGGCAACGACAGTTAAGGAGAAGTTGGTAACCTGGAAAATGTACATCGAAGAACTTTTCTGAGACTACCGAGGTAACCTTCCAGAAATAAATTGCACGACAGGGTCGTCAATACTAGAAAGCGAAGTGAAAGTAGCTTTAAAACAGTCTAAGAATGGTAAGGCCACTGTTTAACGCCATATACGATCCAGGGAATATCCCAGTGAAATGGCTATTGTTAACAATTGTAACACTACCAAAAAAACGATCTGCGAAAACGTACGAAGATTTCCGAACTATTAGCCTTATACGTCATGCACCTAAGATTTTTCTTAAAATCATACATGCCAGAATTTACAAGAAATGCGAAGAATGCAATTTGGTTGCGCAATTCCATGGGTACACGTGAATCACTGTTCATATTACAAATCCTACTTCTGAGATGTCGCGATATCAGATGTACATTATATTGTATATCGATATTTCGTGATTCTGTATCGGTATTAAACTTTCCCAAATCTCACATTCTCTATCAAGGTATTAGCCAAGGTGTCACAGTCTAGGATCTTTGATTCAACGGCTATATAATACGGAATGTAAAGCCACATTTAGGGATAAACAATTACTTGAAAATCATGGGATACTTGGGTTATTCGAATACAACAAGATAGTTAGTTAACAAAGTCTTTAACTAAAACACCTCCTACTGTGTACTACGTTTTAACTTAAGATTTATGTAATAAGTAAGGCTCAATATTTTGTAATATTTGCACTGGTACGTCTAAATAATGGTTTAGAGTTTTAATAAAGCTCTTTACTAAGATAAAAACCAAATAAAACCAACAATAAAACCCAAGTAACTAAAACGGCCAGTTAATCTAGTTCCCGAACTCACAAAATCTACTTTTTTGAGAATTTTATACAAAATATCACAACATTTTAAATCTCATTTGTTTCCAAAAGCAGAAATTAAGTAGTAAAATACATTTTAAAAATGAATATTATTATAGTTCGGTAGTTTAAATACAAAACGTTAGTGTATTGTTGCGCAAGAGTACTAAAAAATCCAGAAGACAATTTTGATTGCAAGATTTTCTTTACAAAAAGTACATATAGTTATGACTATCCAGACATGTATTGAATACGATATTATAAATAATAAATAATTTCTTAAAGACAACGAAATATTTACAGAAAATAAAATATTTAGTACAAGTTGGGAACTAATCGCTGACCCAAAAAACAAATCAACATATTGAACTAGCAGACCTTCGCTTCATAAATTCTTTCGCTACTGGATCGAACATATTTGTTTTCGTAACTCCGAGTCAGTTTCATCGAGGTCGTCAAGAGGCATTTCCTTGCCATTGGGAACGACCTAAAAAAAATATCAAGAATTAAATCAATAAAAGCCTATTGCACATTTTGATAAAAATCAAATTAGAAACTTAAGATTTGGCATTTTATAAAAATGTCTATGTAACTTTGGTTTTTAAATTATTGCAAGTCATTTATACAGGGTGTTTTTTAGGGCTATAGATATGTAAGTTGGTAACACTTTTTTAACTGTCAGACATTTTGACAGCCGTCAAGGAATTTATGTTAAGTTTGGTTTGGCATTTCAGCATGAATTGAATAAACTTCACGCCTCAATAATGCTTCCAAATTGTACATGGTGAGTGAGTTCAAAGATTGCCGTTGATTCCGATTTTCATAAGCGGATTTTGTTTAGCGATGAAGCTCACTTTTGGTCGATTGGCTACGTCAAAAAACAAAACGTTCCTATTTGTAGCTAAGATAATCCTCAAATTTAAGAAACCATTACACCCAGAAAAACTGACTGTTTGGTGTGCTTTATGTTCTGGTAGAATCATTGGACTGTACATCTTCAAAAACGATGCTGGCCAGAACATTATAGTCAATGATGATCGCTATAGAGCCATGATTACTGCATTTGCCTTCACCTGCATGGTCCCCTGCCTGCTGTCTATTTTTCCTAGTATAAAATAACAAACAATCTAATTATATGGCCCAAGTATTCTGTTTTTCTATTCTTTATAATGTTTGTGAGGAGGCGTTCTGAATTCATCTTTTAAAGACAATCTTCATTGGAAGTGTACGATAGCCCTACTATAATGTACAATATATATTTTTTTTATTTTTATTTACAAATTTACCAAGGACAGAGTTTCGATTACAAATAAATCACACTCACTAAAATTATTTAGTCGTTATTGTTCACAATATCATTCGTTTGTTTATTTTATTTTCACGCATCCACCAATCTTCAATTAATTCTTCGCAGTTGGATCCACAGTTTCGCTATACTTCTGTAGTTGAAATTTAATGAGCATTGATTTGTTACTTCCCATATATATGCGATGGGATTAAAATGGCAGTGGTATGGTGGGTGACGTAAAACTTGATGACTGTCATTTTTCAACCATTATAATATTTTTTCTACAAATTCGTTACTTTTATTCAATATTTTGGAATGGTTAAGGCGCATTGTCTAAATCAATTACGTTAGGCTCACTCAACCGGGGAGAAGTTCTCCGGAACTGAAGAATTGTTAGAATTGAAATATTTGTAATACTCATTTGTTTTTTCTAAATAAGTTATCATTTTTTGTGTTAAGTGTCAGGAATATCGCAGTTACGAAATTCGAATCTGCCTATTTCCTAGGATTTTTGAGTTGTCAATTGTCGCTATCCATTTAAAGCTTCCACCACAATATTGTTTTTTAGTTGGTCAGTTAAATCAATGCTTATTTACTATGCGCTTGCGAGTCATGATGTCATTGATGCAAGCTGAGATTTGAAAATCCAGGAATTTTTAACATAATTATGCATGTAGCTTTTTACTAAGTATAAGTTTAAAGTTCTACCTAAATTGGAACTAAGTTAGGGGGGACCATACGAATCAACGTCCGTTAATTCATCTGTTCAGACAAAAATGGCAAACAATCTTTATATTATTAACTTTATCTACACAATAAACTGACACTTGACAAAATTGGGGGTTCATAACCCCCAATGTTTGACTACCTCTTAAAGATCTCGTGATACTTATTCATATATGTCATAAAATAAACTTAAACATACAATAACAAATTATTATAATAGCTCTTCTTTTAATATTTTCACAAATTTTGCTAATATAATACAAAAAATAGTAGTGTACAGATCATGATTATAGAGAAAAACACATTACACTATGATGAAATTGGTTGTTAAGTTGAGGTTCTTCTACGTGCATTTGTTTTTGGGCTTTTAAGGGGCATGCCGGCTACTAAGGTCATTAAGTTTTCCTTAATTTAGCGATGTGGTTTGGATCATTTAATTATAGTACACGGCGTTTAAGTGAAGAACACTTAAATAATAACAACTTAAATAATAACAAAAAAACATGTGGGACAACAGTACATATTTTCAAAAATACTTCCATTTTGAAGAAGTTTTTAAGTAAGGTAAGGTAAGAGTTCATTATTCTTGCTAGCTTGTGAAATAGTGCTAACAGTAAACATCTTTAAATTTAAAACGCCGTCTACACTCTCGATCGAAGTTCTTCAGACGAAGTGAAGATAATCAAGGCGAAGTGACTTTCTACATACTCGTGACGTCGAGTAATGTAGTGTGACACTTCGTATTCTAACTTCGGACCCTTTGACTTGGACGCGAAAAACCGACAGACCGGAAGTAGAACGAAGCGAAGCGAAGTCGCATGAAGTACCTGTCTACACTCTCGTACTCACTGAACTTCGATCAACTTCGCGAGTAGTATAGTGGCCGCTTTAGGCTGCTGCAACACACTGTAATGTACAAGATGGTAATTTCAGTTAGTGGTATCAGTGGACCTCCACCATCTCACACTCTCTTTCAAAATATCGAATTAATGAAAACACTTTCCTCACGCTCAGCTAACGATACGCTTATAATCGCCAATAATTTAAATGATTTACAGAATATGGTAGAACATCTAACTGATGTATGCAATATCTATGGAATAGAGATTAATTTAAAGAACAAAAAATTATGAACGTCACTAAAAATCATACAAACAACAATGATGAACTCTTAACAATCTCTAATACAATACTAGAAAGAGTAGAAAAATTAAAAGTAACTTGGTACATGGTTAACGCAAGCAAAAGAGTTGAGATGCCGTTTAGAAATACCATGAGCCACCGTATTGAAAAATGAAATAACTACTAACTAACCAAGAAATATAACTTAATAAGAAAGATAATTAGATAATCTTCTCATTTAATAAGAAAGATATTAAGGCAGCTGGGTTAGACGAAATACCTTTAGAACTGTTAAAACTAGTGGAAGAGGATAACTTGGAAGTATTGGTAGCTTTGTTTAACACGGTGTACGATACAGGAATACTACCGCAAGAGTGACAAGTCAGCGTTTATAACCACACGTAAAAAACAAACAGCAAAAAAGTGCTCTAACTATCGAACACTGAGTCTCATGAGTCATACTTTAAAAGTACTAAAGTAGGTTCGCTATATTTATGCGGGTTTCGGATTAAAAATTTTATTGTAAGTACCCAGTTTTAATTACCTGCTCTTTGGGGAAATATCAACCGGTCAAATGAAATGAAAAATAATCCATAACTTTTTTTAATTAAATAATAATGGAAAATCTTTTATATAATTGACAGTATAATAAGGAGAATTTCTTAATTAATGGAGTCTAATGTGAATAATATAAACCTAATAATAATTTTATATTACATTTCACACAGAAAATATGGTCTATGTATATTTGTTCCATGGAGAGAATTTCTAATAAAAAAATAAAAAAATTTAACTTGCCAATAAAAATGAAAATCAATCATTATCATCAAAAATATCATAATCGTCATCATCATCACTGTCATCACCTGTAACATTAAAACACTGAAAACTTTGTTTTCAAACTTCTACAAAATTTATTTTAAATCTTATCACTACACCTGTTTCGGCTACTTGCCTTTCTCAAGTGATCTATTTTTGGCTTGGGTTTACAAATTTATAGTCTCTAATGAAATAGGTTGAGGAGGGGAGAACTGTTTGTCTCAAGTTGGTCATTCAGAATTATATCTGTGTTTTTTAATTTGTTGATTTCCATAGATTCTAACAAAGATAGCTATTTTGATTGTGAAGAATTTTAAATTTGTCATTAAAAGAATGATTATGATCTAGAAGGTGAAGTGCGTATGTCGAATCTGTTTGACCGATGTAAGTTTTTGGGCAGTCGCCACATTGAAGTTTGTACACACCACTATTTAAGTGTTTTTTATTTTTGCTCTTGTTATTTTTAATATATTTGCCTAGGTTGTTATTTGTTCGGAAAGCTGGTGTTATTCCTTTCTTTTTTATGTGTTTGGCAATTTTTGTTGTTATTTTGCCTGTATATGTAATCGAGCAGAAGGTACTGGGTTTTTTCTCTGGTGGTGGAAATACTAATTTCAGGGCTTTCTTGTGTAGTTTTTGATTTAACATTTTATTAATTGTTTGTTCGTTGTATTGTAACATTTTTTTTATTATTAATATATCAAATTATTTTTAATTCCTTTTACCCCCGTGCGATACGCCGATGATTAGGAATCCCCGTGTTTACGATAGGAAAATAATATTGTAGATACCAAGCTAAAATGGAATTCCCTAATTAAGAAAGGTTTTTAATCCTTCCGTCATAATACTCTGTATGAAAAGAACAAATGCTTTCCGGTATGGTAAGGCCCGTATCTTTTGACAATAATATAATCCTAAGGATTTTAATATTCTCAGGTCCAATTGTTAATACCGATTATTTTACCTCAAACTTTCCAATAGTCGTTAAGGCCTTACCTTCTGAGAAACACATACAACTGTCCTATCATTCTTGAGTGGGGGAATATTTTCTTCTTCCTTTTTCAGGGACAGTTGTTGAGTGAAGTGATATCTCGTGATACGCTTTGCTCACTTTATTTCTTATCGTATCGTCTTTGTGAATTATTTTCTAAGTGTGTATACACTTTATATTTGAGTTTTCTTTCCTTAGACTATATTATTAAATTATATATAGTTCTACACTACCTTTAATGGTTATTAAATTCAGTGTTTAGTACCAGAAAAGTATTAAATTCAGTGAATTAAGCTGCCTTCGTCAAGATCTACTGTAAGTAATCTTTATCTACAATTATCTGGGCGAGTAATATGGTATGGTATCATATCACCTGCCATTATCTGGACGTATCATCTATATCTTCACCTGTAGATTGCCGATTTTTGAATGTAATTGAACGATTCAAGAAATTTCTATAAATATTACCTATGAACATACAAGTCTCAGTTTTTTATTAAATAATAGTGCAAGATAGTTAATTGACTTAACAAAGTGCGGTTTGGTTTATGTTTTCATTCCTGTAACCTTTTTGTTTTTTTTTTGTAAATTTAGAGTTAAGTAATTTTTGCTATCTTTTGTATTTCCTATAATTTTTGTTCATTATCTTTCCTATGATATCTCGAGATACGCCAAACTATATTTGTATATAATTGCCTTATATATCTTGGTAAAGGTATTTTTTTATTACATTATTGCTTAATTTTATACATATATAACACCATTTCATAGTTGTGTATTTTTATTACCTGTGTTGCATTTAGCAGCATCATAATTTTGTGTTTAATATATTGTTATTGTTTTATGCTTGTATTTTATTTGTCGGCTCCTAACAAGTTCCCTGATAAAATAATAGCTCTGAACAATTACTATCTTTAAATATTACTATGCTTTTGAACTGTAGAAAGATCAGGCTGATTAAGTTTCGTAGGTAAGTGTAATACTTAATACATTTATTATTTGTTTATATATTGCGTTGACCAGATTTATTTGATAATTTACTGTTGGTATCTTTCCTTGGGTTTGATCTCTGAACCTAAATATCTTTTCTTATCTCTTTTCTTTTCTAAGGTTTTCTTAATTTTCTCCTTAACCCCAAACCATGGAGTGGCGCCCTGTTTCTATCTTCTCTTATCTTTGGTAATTTTACCCATCTATCTTTTTGTTTATTTCTGTACCTTTTCTAATATCTCTTATCTATCTTTACCTATTTCTTCCGTTGGATCCATTCCCGGTTCCAAAAGCTAGTTTCGAACCCACGACTCGCTCTCCACCAACCATCTGGCTGCCGTCCGCAGTGTCTCCATTGGTTATCTTTCTAGCACCACCCAAAAAAGATCCGAGGTTACAGTATCCGTTGTTTACTGCTATTTGCTTAATTATATTTAATTCTGTTTCAAAGTTGTATTTTGACATCGGAATTTCTGTTAATCTATGTAACATTCTATAATAAGCTGCCAGTTTATGTTGTGTTGGATGGGATGATGAATTGTGTATAGTCGTGTCAGTATGGGTAGGTTTATGAAATGTGGAGAAGTCATGTTTGTTTTGAAGTCTGCTAATTTTTAAATCTAAAATATTTATGGATTGATTTTGTTCTGTTTCTATTGTAAATTCAATATGACTATGAAGTTAATTAATATAAGATAAAAATTGGTCGAATTGCCTGTTAGTTCCTGTGAAACATACCAGTACGTCGTCTACGTATCTCCACCAATATAAAAACTGTTTGAATACGGGATGTTTTGAAATATTTGTCTCTAGATGATCCATAAAAATATCTGATAGCAATGGGCTTAGAGGATTACCCATTATAAGTCCTGCAATGTTATTTGTATATATTTTATTATTAAATTCAAAGTAGTCCTGGTTTATGCAAACTTCAAGAAGATGTAAAATTTCAGATGTAATTATTGGATTTGTACTATTTTGGTCTAAAAGGTTTTTTACTAGAATATTTTTACTAGAATAAAAGTTTTTGTAGGAGGGATACTAGGAAAAAGATTTTTTACGTCAAATGAAATTAATCTGGAGTTGTTAGGTAATTGAAAATGTTGTATTTTATTCTATTTATGTATGTATTCTATGTATGTATTGTATGTATAAGTTCTATTGTATTTTTTATGGTAAATTTAGGTGAAAATTAAGTGTGTTCTAAAATAATCTCTAACAGTTTTTTTGAAAGTTTATATGACGGAGCTGTATAAAAAGAAACTACAGGTCTTATTGGGTGATCCGGTTTGTGTAGTTTAATGAAAGAGTATAATTTAGGAGGCTATGGGTTCATGATATTGAGGTATTTCTGTTCTATTGGATTTAGTATTGCTTTTGAATTTTCTAACGCTAGCTTAATTTGTTTTTGATATTTTTCTGTCGGATCTTTGTGTAAAGTTTCAATATTTTGATTAGTTAAGAATTCTATTGTTTTGTTATTATATTCTATTTTATCTATAGCAATAGTAGTGTTACCTTTATCTACCTTTGTCTGTTACCTTTGTGACAAAGATAACACTACTATTGCTATAGATAAAATAAAATATAATAACATATAATAACATTTTTGTGTTCATATTATCGTGATAGTCACTTGATTTTGATTTAGATGAAAATATTAAATCAGCACCTTCTATAAAACCCGATTTCCCTCCTGCATGTAAAATTATGTGTCGCTTCCCTTCTCCATCAGTATGTTTGATAGACTTTACGTTATCATCTTGCCATATTCTCTTGGTTGCTCCCCTAGAAAATATCCATGTTTCGTCTAAATATATAAAATTTGCCCTTTCTTCTTTTAATTTAGAATATTTTCTTAGAACGTTAATTCTTTTATGCACAACAGAACTTCTTCCACAAAGGGCTTTTCTGTTATCCTCCTTTTGAAATTTGAAACCCAAATTATGTATCACTTGCCATAGACTCGTTCTGCCAATTTCGTCAAATTTTCTATCTTTTCATTCCGAGAGAATTGTAATTAAGGTCACATGTTCCTTGTTGGCTCGCATTCGATAAATGGTATCACGAATTTTAAATTTTTTTCCATCTGGAATATCTCTCGTTTTCAATGATAGGCGAGTTTTTCGGTAATCTTCTTTCGGCCGTTCATTATTGCGATTTTGTAATACTCCTCTTAGTTTGGTTTCACTAATTCCTAGAGCATCACATACGCGTTGTTGAACAGACATTACCGATTTTAAAGGACTGCCATTTTCTTTTTCATCCGTAAAATACTTATGTACACTACAAATTAGACTATCTACATCTAACACACGTCTAGGCATTTTTAAATATTTCCACCAAACATACAATGTCAACACTGGAATAGAATCAATTCAACTGCAATATTGTAACAAATTTATACCTACCCTAATGTTATTTTAATGTATTTTAAAATATGACCATTAATGTAGTTTTTACCTAATTTTCTGGGAAGTCGTTTACTGCAACTGGTTATCAATGAGTCATTAGCATATTTTGTTAATCCGAAACCCGCGTAAATATAGCGAACCGACTATAGCTTAAAGCAATACATAGGAAATCTATAAAAAGTTAGAGGAGGATATTAGCGAGACGATAATGTTTAAAATTATCGGATGAAATGTTTTTCTTAAAATTGTTGCTTAGCCGAAATGTTTGAACTTTATCTTATGATATTTAACGGTCTGCTAAAGAGATAGAAATATATTTTTTAATTCTTGGTGATAATCTAAAATCTAATAAAAGTAACTTTTAAAGTAGGTACTTTGATTGGGTTCAATTATACAGCCAGTACTGGCTAAATTCACTTGCAAGATAATAATTATAAATACAAAGACAGTAAAAACAACTTAAATTATTTCTAAGTTATACACTTACCTTTGGTAAATATGGATCATAGTCTAATCCTGATCTCTCGTAGAACAGAATATAAGCAGTACTAGTGTCGATCTTGGGCACTTTTACATCCCGATAGGGACATTTATAATTATTCAGGGATTTTCTACTACTGTATGGAGACTCCGACAGTAATTTTTCATTGTAGCTGTCCACGTTCGTTCCTAACTTATCCACGGAACCCACAGAGTTCGATCTGGAACTACTCAAGGTTTCAGTCGAACTCATATTAACATTACTTTCTTTCTTTTCAAGATCTTCCGATACTGTACTACCAGAACTGAGTTTTCTGATATTTTTTCTTTTAGCCAAAGGTGTGCAAGAGGAGGGTTTACTGGAGGTATTAGAGCTCAGAGAGAGCGTCGATTTATTGCTATTTATTTCGGGATCCGGAAGTACTTCTCGGCATGAACTGTCATTGTAGCAGTACCAATGGCCATTGGGATTACACGCGTAGGAAATATAATGTCCACCATTAAGCATTCCAGAATGACACTAAAAATATTAGACAGTTAAAATTTATCATTGATTACTAGAATAATACACGAGCATATAATGTATAAAAAATCTAATGAAAAACTAAAGTAGATATACACTGAAATAAATAAAATGGTTTTAAAGAAGTTCTGAAACTGTTTTCTTGTAGTATGTTTAAGTTAAAATATTGTATATATATATGGGATTTAAATCAGAATGGAACGATCGATTAATAATCATGAAAGAAACATAAATCAGAAAGAGAAAAATAAAAAAAGCAGCCCACATCTTACACAATGAAGCATCTTACTTAATGCCCATATTCTTACAGTGGTTCGTCTATAACATACTTGACGTTTGGTGGCTTTTTCAGACGACCAAGACTCTGTTTTGCAGAAATCTGCTTCAAATCATCGGACAAAATCCGTGAAATAAACTATACTAAATAGGTAAAGAAATAATAAATCAGACTTACTCACAATCAATTTAATTTAACTATCCGACGACCGGTTTCGCTTTCTACAATATGCAAAGCATCTTCAGGTCTCGGTACAAAGTTAAACAAATGCTGAAATGATAAAAACCCATATTAGGGTGTTGTCTAATAAAGATAAACAAATTAGATGTTATAAATTACAATAATTATGCCAATATTACCTGTCTGTGGTTTTATTTAAATGATTGAGTTGAATAAAAGGTATAAATATTTTTTAAAAAAGTTAAAAGGACAAGGTAAGGCCCACAAATTGTCATAAAATCTCTTCTATTGGAATAAATTAATGAATGAGCAAATAAATAAATGAAATAAAATAAAATTACTTACATGCCGGTACTCTATTAATAGATGGATGGTAGAACATGTTTGAAACTACTGTTGTTTGAAACAAACATGTTCTACCATCCATCTATTAATAGAGTACCGGCATGTAAGTAATTTTATTTTATTTCATTTATTTATTTGCTCATTCATTAATTTATTCCAATAGAAGAGATTTTATGACAATTTGTGGGCCTTACCTTGTCCTTTTAACTTTTTTAAAAATTATTTATACCTTTTATTCAACTCAATCATTTAAATAAAACCACAGACAGGTAATATTGGCATAATTATTGTAATTTATAACATCTAATTTGTTTATCTTTATTAGACAACACCCTAATATGGGTTTTTATCATTTCAGCATTTGTTTAACTTTGTACCGAGACCTGAAGATGCTTTGCATATTGTAGAAAGCGAAACCGGTCGTCGGATAGTTAAATTAAATTGATTGTGAGTAAGTCTGATTTATTATTTCTTTACCTATTTGAAATGGACTCACACAAGCAACAAATTCATGATTTAAACTATACTACTATAAAGATTGGTACAAAAAATTTTAAAATTACCAGGATTCTTAAACCGACAAAACCTCCCCAGAGAACACGACAATAACATATTCCACTGGTGATTCACCTCTACTATTCACTAGCGTACGAAACAAAACGAAAAAGTGGACGAAATCCAGTAAACAGTACGTTTCAAAGTGACTTGACCTCCATGTAGGAAACTGTAGGAAACGCCCCTTTGTGTATCAACAATCAAACTCTGCACAACGACCTCAACATACCCTTTACCAAACCCAGCGAACTGCCTCCAAATGTAGTGAGACACCAAACAACCATGACAACAGGTATAATATTTTCAATTCCAACACAAGTTCCGTTAAGGCAATAAACATTTGAATCACGCGAACATCCGAACAGAACTGCAAATACAGCATTGTGCGAATTAATGGAATCACTGTGACATTTATCAATATTCGCATTTGGTAACTCTGTCCACACATTTACAACTACCAAAGACCAAGTATTGAAAACATAACCTTACTTTTCTCTGCCTCTTATGTGAGGGTGTTTTCAAGAACGTGTGGAGTCAGGGGGTAGTAAGACTTTGAAGCGTAAACAAGAAACGGGATCAATGGATGTGAAAAGGTTAGGATAATGCAGAAGAAAGAGAAAAACAACACCAGCAGACGAAAGATTTTTACTGAAAGAGCAAATAGAATCCAAGAAAAACTAATCAAGAGCACCAACAAGATCTATTTTCCCTGTACTATTTTGTGTTATTTTCTGTAATTAGTGAGTATGTTTCGTTTAATTCCATCACGGATATTACGCCTAGGCAGCGTGAAAAGATTATAACGTTAAGTGAACACACTTCTAAGCCCCAAAGAGAAATCGCAAGAACGTGAGGAGTAAGTCAGGGTGTAGTAAGCAAAATTTTGAAGCGTAAAGGAGAAACGGGATCAATGGACTTGGTGAAGATTAGGCAAATGCGGAAGAAAGAGAAAAACAACACCAGCAGATGAAACACTTTTACTTCCAGAGAGCAAATTAGACGCAAGAAAAAAAGGCAAGAGCTCCAACAAGATCCAGTAGCATCAGGCACTCCAAAAAAGGCGACTCCAAATTTATTGTTTATGTTTATGTAAAACAGAAATGAAATATAAAAAGGTTACTGAATTATTTGTATCACTATGATAGTCTATACTTCGGAATGTATAACTATATTAATATGTTTCGCTATATATTTGCAGATAAAATAATATTCATTCTTTATTTATCCTTTATAATAAATATTTATTATGCGCTTACCACTGCAGCGTAGAGTTGATACTTCAAGTCAAATGCGTCTTGACCAGGCTTTAATTGATGCCTGTGATAATCTTTCAAATGCTCGTCAATAATCGGAGTTTTAATTAAACTAGTAGATTCTAACCTCGCCCTCACTTTACTGTTTCTATCTGCTAATTTATTTCCCTTTCCTTTATCACTATCATTTAGCAATTTACAACTTTCCAAAGGAGAGTTAGCGTCTTTAACACACTTCCCTTTACACTTATCATCTACGTTGCACTTTGTTTCACTGCTGCCTTCTTCGTTTTCCTCGAGTATCCTTTCCGGTTGGCTGTCAGTCGATTTTTCCAGTTCTTCATTCTTCTTTGCTAAAAGTTGTCGGTGCCTCAAAATAGTTTCCTGTGGAACCGAGGCCAGATATGATGTGGGGTCAAAATTCTTGAAGGGGAAGTTGACGACTTTTTGAGTTTTTACCCATTTGTTGTTAACAAAAACGAATCGTTTTAGATGTATTATCTAAAAGCAAGTATGTTAGTTATACATATATATCTAGTGCAATATAAAACTTACAAGTATTGGTGGTAACCTCCAAATTTGCATCTTTTTAGTTGCTGGTTGATGATCTTGGCAACTACTACAATGATACTTAGTTTCCAACCTCTCTTCTGACGTAAAAGCTCTGAGACAATAATCCAGGTCGATTGGTTCAGCGTGTAATTTTCTACATGTGACTACTGATTCGTGCTCCAACCAGGTCTAAAAAAAATAAAATATGTATTTAATACACAATGCACATCTAAAGTCTCCCTTGCAACTAATTTTTGAACCATAAAATTGAAATTAATAATTTTTTTTCGTAACTTAACTAAGATGTATTTATTAAATCACTACAAAAAAATATATTATGATGATTGGAAAAAATATTGGACTAACTCTTGTCTAGTCCAATTAGTTAGGCCCGATTATATGTTTTGATGTTTCGTGCTAGTTGCAATTTACTATGTTGTTCATTTGGTTTCCTTCAAATTAGTTGCAAGTCAAAAGAAGTTGTCCAATTAAAAACTTTGACACTATTACTAACAACTTACCTTTTCTCTACTAGTCTGATATCTGAGATGTAATGCAGTCGGGTCCCAGTCAATCGAAATACACATGTTATTTAGACTAGATGAACACATGTTTACAAGAAGTTCTTCTGAGCAGGGAATGATGCATCCTCTACAAAATTGAGTCCAATGACAAATGGCGCAAATTTGTCCACCTTGGAGAACAGCCTTTAACGTGAATGGGAATTCGTAGCCTAGAGAGTCATCACTAAAAAATAAGTAGTAATTAACAAAAATTAATATAAACTTCACTGTAAAAGTTTTGCACCACCAAAAATTACGGCGGATTCCGCTATTTTTTATTACTTTAGATTTGTTTTTGGTATTTATACTATTGGACAATTAAAATAGACCCTTACACCTTGTACTCCCTACAGAGTGTCTCAAACATAAGAAAAACATTTTTTTTCTTTCACCCGGTATAAGCCCAAAAGAGGAGTTTGAGTGAAATTTCCCTAACAGTGTAAATAACCTGTTCACGAGAAAAAGATGAATAGATACAAACCTAATGAATTTAAATTTATTATAAAATTATAATTAATGGATCATTTTTGAAAAGAGTAGAAATTTTTTTTCTGAAAGTTACTGTTTTTTTAATATATACATATAATTTTAATATGGAAATTTCTCTTATTTCGTTATGCCAATATATGTTGTAAATGCATGATAATATCTCGAAACAAGAAGAAGAATGAAGCGATCCATGTGGAATAATTCTGCGAAACAAATTTAAAAAACGAAGAGACCAGGAGAAAAACCAAGGTGACTGACGTCATCGCAAAGATAGCCATACTAAAATGAAGATGGGCAGGACACATAGCTAGAGTGACGGATGGGCGATAGACAAAGAGGTTATTGGAATGGAGACCAAAGGAAGATAAGGGAAGTGTCGGTCGACTACCTACAAGATAGGCTGACGAATTAAAAAGAAAAAATAAAAAATGGATGAGGGTGGCGCAAGACAGTCGGGGTTGAAAACACGAGGAAAAGGCATATGTTCAGCAGTGAACTTTTGAAGCTGAAGAAGAATAAATAATAATGAGGAACAGAATACTTATCAGCAAACATTACATAGCATGGAGAGGTGATATGTGGAAAGTTGTTGTAAATAAGAACTACATGATTTATTATGTGATTTGTCATATGATTTGGTCATGAAGTGAAATTTACATGTTTACAATGTGTCATTTGTCATATGATTTTGTCGTAAGAGCTGTCATGCGGCTCGTGATAAGTAGTCATAGCATAATAGGACGGTACCTATTCCGCATGATAAAATCATATGATTTTCTGTAATAATACCGGTAACACCAACATATTTAAATATCGCACCTCATTCTTACCTTATTAATTCAGTGAAATTCCCTACCCGAGAGACAACATCCCTTATTTATTTATTTATTTTTTGTTTGTTGCTTTGATATTGAGCCTATTGTCTTATCTGTGCTATTTTGTCGTATTTTTCATTTATTTATTTAGTTTATTTTTGGTAAATTTTATTTAACAATTTTAAGTTTATTTTTGCTAAATTGGATATACCCCGTCCACTACCTCTTCGTAAGAGCCACCTGCGAGCCCAAAGGCGTCTGATCTTTTTCTTCTTACTATTAGTATTAGCTGTGCGCAGTTGTTGCCAGCGTATTATCAAAAGTCGTAGAGCCAATGCAAGCAAAGATTCATTTCCATTATAATAGTTTATAAATTTAATAGTTGTTACCTATAACTACTATACCTATAACATAAATCTGGGATTTGTCCCAGGAAAAGGTACAAGAGAACACATCCTTAATGTCAGACAGCTAATCGAAAAAACTCGTGAATTCAATACTCCTATGCTTATGTGTTCTGTGGATTACACAAAGGCCTTCTATAAAGTTAAATAGCAGCAGCTATGGTCCATACTAGCGGAAATGGGAACACCCCACCACTTAATTCAACTAATTAGAAGTCTATATGAAAATAATAAGTGCACCGTAAAAATAAACGACACCCATTCCGATCATTTCAGAACAGATGCAAGTGACAGGCAGGGATGCATAATCTCGCCAACTCTGTTTAATATCTACAGCGAACATATTATGCGAAAGGAACTATACGGATGGAAGGGCGGAATATCAGTAGGAGGTCAAAAAATCAATACCTTAAGATATGCTGATGACAATTTAATAAGAAAAAATGGAAGACATAATGAGATGTCCGGAGGAATAAAAGCAAAACATATGGACTAAAGCTAAATAAGAGTAAGACAAAGATCATGATAGTAGAGAGCGCTCGGAATAATCTTCAACACATTAAAGAACTTTGGGACTTTGAAGTAGTAAATAGTTTCATATACCTGGGGTCCCTAATAACAAATGACGGAGGGTGTGACAGAGAGATACGTAGAAGGTTGACTATTGCTAGAACAGCTATGATGAAACGTAGCAATTTGGAAAAATTCTAGCATAACAATACAGAGAAAACTAAGGCTGGTAAGGGCACTCAGTTTTCCCATAGCTACATATGCATCCGAAACGTGGACCTTAAAGAAAACGGATAAAAATAAACTGGACGCTTTTGAAACGTGGGTATACCGCGGCATGTTGAGAATATCCTGGTTTGTCATCGCACTAACGTATCGATATTAGAACAACTTAAAGCAAAGGATAGATTGCTTAAACAAATACAACAGAGATATTTGCAGTATTTTGGACACATTGCTAGAAGAACAGGTACAATGGAAAAACTAATAGTCGAGGGTACAGTTCAAGGAAAGAGACCTAGGGGAAGATCTCCAGATATGTGGCTTATCAGAGACCAAAAAGAAAGGCCAAGAAAAAACTTGCTAGGCACAATACACCCTAAAAAACAGTAATAAACGCAAGCAAGACCGATCACACGCAGGCGTAGACATTCAATTAAACGAGAAATACATAAACATTATTGAATAAATAGAATACGTAAACGACAGAATTTTACAGGTATCACTAAAGGTTAACCAGATCAATTTGTACCTAATAAGTGTCTACGCCGCAGATTTCTCTAAAATCATCACAGAAACGTCATAAAACATACTACAAAAAATCATCGACAAAATTAATGGCAACCCAAAAACTTATCAATTTTTGGAGACCTTAAGGCAATGACACACTGACACGAGTGAAAAAAAATTCAACGAAGATATGTACACTTCCCGTCATATAAAACTGGTACACTTTTTTTTCTCAATGTAAACCTGTGTTCAGAAATCAATTCGTTGTTACCAGTACAGATAACGAAATTGCACTAAATCTAAGTAAAAAAATAACGTTCAAAAATGTATAAAATTTTTAGATAGGTATTATTTTTATCATTACCAAAAAAACTGAATCTGAAAAACTGAAACAGAAAATTACAAAATTAATATGAGTTATTATCCAAAATGTTTGAAAGATCTTTAAACTAGGGTATTAGCACAGGGAACATTGGAATGGATCTACTGTAATTTTATCTTCAATTACCTACCCAACAATTACCTACCTACAATTCTGTGTCAATAAGTTTTGTAACAGGCAAACTACCAAGATTAATTTATTATTTATTAAAAGAACGATAAAAAATGTGAAAAACTAACATTATACTTTATCCTACGTATTATATACTAGAAAATATTCGGTGCGAAAAAACGCTTTTCAAAACGTAACAGTAACAATCCAATATCTCATTGTAATGTTTTATTATAATAATTTGAAGTTTGTCTATCTGTCATTATTTTTGAATTGAAATATTTTTATAAATTGTTATAAAACACAAATCAATATATGAGTATTTAATTGAGATGATGGAAAATTACAAAATTAATATGAGAATTTTTTAGAATTTATGTTTAAACAAATTTAATGTGACTGACTGATCGAGAATGCTCGATAATGTTTTAGTTTTTAGTATACTCAAAACTGCCTTGCTTTTATCTGGTTTTATATATTTTCGTTGAACTGGCAACGGTGCCCTAGAAATCAGAATGACACATCTGACAAGATCAACGTACACAACTTAAAAAACACGATTTTTGATTATAAGAGTTGTACCAGTTTTTTATGACGGGAACGGTACCATCAATGAGAACGAATAGTGCTATACACTTCATCTAATTTATATACCGATGCACGTCATCGGCGTCATAGCCTGTGACGTCACATGATACCATCACAAAATATTTAGGGTGTAGGTGTGTTCTTTTTTAGAATCACTTTACCGAGTACACTGGCATTACAGCCACTAGAAATATTTTATTATATACGCGTAGAAATAATATTTAAAAACTTCTATTAATGTTAACTTAAAGAAATACACAATAATATGTTTCATTTAATTTGTATAAATGCATTATAAAGCGTTTTTATCAAGAACATTTGTTCGGAACACACTGTAACTATATTTGAACGCAGGTAAAATTTTGGCATAAATTGGTAACACTTATTTGACAGTTCCGGTGTTGACACTTTTTGTACTTCATAATTTTGAATTTTAAAGTGAATATCTCTTGTGTTATATTTTAACTATTTAATAAAATCTGTTCTTTTTAGAACAAAATTAGTATGTTTTATTTCAAAAATGTCACGTAAGAATTTAAATATTTACGTTGTAAAGAGATGGTAATACGTTTGCAATAATTATGTAATCTATTTGATTTAAAATGGAGTCAGGATTTTTTTATACTTTGGCAACTATGTCAACTTCGATCTCTGACGTAGATAATGACGTAAGTCGTTATCTAAATTAGATGAAGTATAAATGAGATGAAGATTAACAACAATTTCCACTAGAGTTTAATCTTTAAAACCTATAACCTGAAATTTACAGTTTGAGTTTTGGCAACATATATAAAAAAACGCAGATTTTAAACTTTCAATTTACACACGATTGCACGTCACTGGAAATGCCTCCATGAAAACGATATTGGGTGGAATTTATATCTGAAGTTGTGTAGTTTCGAAAAACGTGTTTGTGTGATCAAAAAGAATCAGTTTTAAATGTTTTAGATCGTTTGTAATGTAATGCGCTCTTGTAACTACATTCCTTGACCCGACATGTAAGTAGTAATTATATACTCTCTTAAACCACGGCCCTAACATAATATTGGCACTATTTATAACATACTTAACACAGCCCTATTAGTTACAATTTGTTATTTTTAGCATATTAAGTTATCATTTCCGGAGACCTGACGACGAACAAAAAAAACAAGCCGTCCAAGGTTTAATAAATATATTCTGGGTACGCATGTTTATTTCTCCAACCCATACATAAAACAACTTACCAGTCAGTTGCGTGGTTGGGCTGGTCGCTTTGAGGTAAAGGACTTAACAATCTAGTCACTTGATTCCACACTTCTTCGTAAAGGCTTTGGCAGGAGCTCTTTCCGTTAAATCCGAGTAGGAGAGGCATTCCGAATAGACTAGGTTTGCTCTTCTGCTGCGATAGAAAATACGTTTCTTGTCTGACACATTTCCTATGAACGGCTATAAGGTAAGAAGGACACTTTCGGCTTGAGTCTGATGAAGCTAAATGAAAAAAAAAAACATAATCATGTGTTTTAACAAAAATAATTCTGTACATGAGGATATGTCGTATGTCTAGATATCATGCTGGCATGCTGGTTCTAACGGTGTAATTCTCTATATGTTCAAGGTTGGTGTCTGTTTTTGGTTAATTACAAATTTTGTTAGAGACAAATATAAATTTTGTATTAATTTATTAGAATAATTAACATTTCACTATTTACAGTAATACGTTAAAAGGCAGTATATTAGAAAGCAGCAAATGATAGCAACATTTTATAAATATGATACAAAAATTAAATGGGTTCTGAAAGTGTTTTCGTGCGGCATGTCTAAGTTAAATATATTTTATGTTTATATGGGGTTAGGCCACAATTGATCGTAATGAAAAGTACACAATTAATAACTTTTGAAGTTTCGATTTCCACTCCGGAAATCGTTTTCAAAAAAGATATTTAAAAAATTGTATGAAAACTATAACTAACAAATTAAGTTGGGTTATATTTTTCAAAACTGACGGTTGACTTACTTTGCCTCGATATTGTAGGCAATAGCCTTCTTTTGGTTGGCAAAAAATCTGAGTGTAGTGTTTTTACCCATGGAATATCAAAGAAAAAAAATTCGGTTTTGTGTGTTTTATTTGTTTGTATGTGTGTTTAACATAAATATGTGTTTGTATGTTTTGTAGATGATGTATGCGACTTTCTTTAATCCGCTATTGTCGGTATATTCTGGTTGTTGACTACTTCTTTTAGTATTGGCAACCAAAGCCAGGTACATTCTGTTGATGGGTTTGCTAGACGTTTTTCTTTATTAAGTAGGATGAGAGCTGCTTCTTTGATTTTTCTCTTTTCATGTCTGTTTCTCGTTATTGCAGGCATGTTTCCATATCTAAGATTTGTTGAAGTCTCTGTTCTTGATTTATATTTCACGCTCGTTTATCCTGACGCTTGTAGGTCTTGCGGTTTCGCTTACATAGAAATTGTTGCATCCACAGTGTATTTTATGGATGCAGCTGTTTGATCTTTCTTGTGTGTTGTTGGGTTTGGTTTTGGACAGGATATATCTATGTGTGTTAATTGTTTTGAATATTGTTGTGATGTTGTACTTATTTCCTATCCTTTTCAATTATAGACTAGAAAATACAGTGATAAGACACTACCCTGGAAAATTTATCAGGAAGAAACCACTTGCATCAAATACAAATCAAATATAAGTCATCTATAAAATGAAGTAAAACATCATCTATAAAAATACTTAATAAAAATCATAAAAATAAAAAATTATCTAAACAAGTCTAAATCGCTCAACGAATTAAAATGTTAATTTCAAAAGAAAATTTTTATTTCATAATTTCGAAGAAGAAACTTTTAGGAAAGAAAATTTAAATCTAATATCGACCAACAAACCAATGGTAGTAAAACTGTAAACCAAAACATTGTACTGAACGACCATCCTCAATGTTTTGAAACCAGCACGGCACAGCAATCTACGTAAGGAATCCTGGTACCTGATACATCTACATTTGTAAGAAAAGGATTTAATCTTTCAGGTATAGTAACACTGTGTCGATTAAAATTTGTCAGAGACCTTGTTAATTGGATATCGAGCAGTGGAAAAATGTTTTGTTCATATATGAGACCAAAATTCAGTTATAGAAGGCAGACGAAACTTATGGTTAATCACAGCTGATATATACACTGAGAACAATTTAGAAGATAATGTTTTGTCATGTGCCGGCCATATTGGATATGACAGATTCGAGCTAATGCACGATAACTCACGTCCTCATGTATCGATAATAGTGAATGCTTACCTTAATGATGTTTAATTTAAAAAATTATATTGGCAACCATATAGTCTAGATTTAAATCCGATCGAGCTTTTGTGCGACATTTAAAAACGGAAATCCTGTTCCTTTGAGTAGGTATTGTAACATATGCTATGAACTATGCACTATATAACGTTGCTAGAGACGCTCAGGTAGCAGAAAGGAAAAAGGAAACAACGAATCAGATCAAATGACACATGGTGCGAAATACGGGAATGTAAGCAACTGAAGACTACAGGACAAATGGATGGAATGGCTGTATCACTATAAGCGGAAGACAAAATCTTTAATTCAACCATATGAAGGTGACATAACTATTCTCGCCAACTTACCAATAGAATTATATCAACTACTACAGATAATCAAACACATTAGTTAAAAATATCAATAAATAAGGTAGGTATAAATATCAATAAATCCAGTGGACTAAAATCAGACTAGTGAGAAGCCCAGTTTTCTCATATACTTTAAAATGTTAAACCTTCAGGGAAATCGACACATATAAGAGAGCAAATATCCTTTCTCTTTGGCTATCCAGAGGAAGAGAATAGGGTACCCCTACAAGGTACACCAGCCACATCATCAAGATACACTATTGACATTCCACTATTAGAATGTGAATGTGCAAGATATACGAAAGATCGGGAAAATGGAGGAACATCGGCAAGACCAACGTATGATGACTCATGGTAACAGGATACCTGTATCAGGTTAGGGAATAAAATTGAAACAATATTAAAATTTGTGTAACATCTAAAGCAATATCTAAACACGAGATCTATGACCTGACTGAGCGGTAGTGGGTCTTTATCTCCAAAAAGAAAGGTCATTTGAGAGAGATTTCTTCAGGCACCAGAGGATGCTTAACACGAGAGTGAATGAGTATTGCATAGACTATAAAGTATGGTACACTCGGATCACTGATGCCAGTTCCAACTGTCTAGTAAATTTAGTAATCATTTTTTTACTACGTTGCTATGTAAAAATTATTCATATGCAGTTTATTAACAAAATAAAACTGCAACAATTAAAATAAAAGTTTAAATTTTTCTTTTTGAAATTTGATAGTCGTTTATATTAGTATTTACAAATGGAAAGATTTTAATAAAGATTAATGAATATACACTCCCATTATTCATGATTATTCTTCTTTTTTTTTTCAATGAGAAAAGGGTGCAACAGTAATTTTATTTGGCCTATTAACAGTGAGATTTAGAAATGTTGTGTTGTATGTTTCCGACAATGTGTCTCTGAAGATAACTGAAGAGTTATCTGTTGTACAGTGTGTCCAATGAAAAACTTCACATTTCCATTGGTTTAACAGAAAATAATCAAAAGTATTTGAATAATTAACTACAATTTTAGTTAAAAATACGTTAAAATAATAGTAAATGCCAATAACTTCGCCTCGAACGATCATTTCGTTATTGTATGTTTTGACATTTATTCCAATTATCTAGGTGTTAAAATTTTGTCCAAATATTGATATTAATTTTGTGGGAGAAAGTGGTCATAGAGTGACTCTCATCATGACTCTCTTGCAATATAATCAGTGTATGCTTTTGTGAAATCCGAAATATGTTTCTATAGTAGGATCAAGGTTTAATCATGTTTATGATTCATTCAAAATTTACCTCAATCGCTTAATTATTCTGTAATATTATAAACGTCACATATTTGTTCTTTTTCTTTTCATAATTATTTTATTTCAATTTCTTTTGATTTTATTCATTTATTAACTTTTTTTTACTATTTTTATTTTAAAAATAGTTCACGTCCAATTCTTTAATCAACTAAGTATCCTATTTAATATTTATTTTTCATTTTCACTAAATATTCCAATTCCTTTATTCAGACCCTATTCTGTTCTGAGATGATGGAACATATAAATTTCTATGCCTCACTTTAATAGACAGTATATTTGTTAGTTGGTAATTCTGTTCTGTCATGTCACTTTTCTGTCATTGCCACAATTTTGTGGTGGCATATTTTTTATAAATATCGTTCATCTATAAAAAGGCATTCTTGGATTGAAAATTCATTTATAATCTTAAATCTTCTCTGGGGTAAGTTATATTTAATTTTTAACCAATATCCATTGTCTTTTTATGATTTCAAATTTTATTTCATTTTTTATACATTAATACATAACCTCTTCCTCACATGTTTATTTAAAACTTATAATTCGTCCAATGTGCAGTTAGAATTTTTATTATAATTTTACTAATTTATTTAATAGTAATTATGTTTAGGGAAATATTTTAAAATCTATGCAGTCACTAACTGAAGATTTATTATTTTAGTTTTTTGGCCTAATTAATTTTTTCCTGTTCCCCCTTGTTGATTGGCACTTTATAAGACCCTTGTGGTACACCACACACATGGGATGAGACTGCAGCAGATATTCAGAACCTAATAGCTGCACAGAACTAAAACGGGCTCGATCCCGGCATCTCCAGCAAGTTATCATGTGAAACCAACATCAGCAACTAACAACTACATTCTGCAATTCTTTGAAGCCAACATCAAGTTACCCAGGGATGCTATAATATCATATTTTATATTTGTGAAGCATATAGGATTTGCTTTGATTTTTAATATCTTCTAAAATTGATTTTATATTTTTTTATGTACAATAAACGTGATTTGTTAATATCTTTTGTTTATTTTATTGCTCGGATTTACTTCTAAGATAAGACGTTCTCACATCTGAGAGACTGAGCTAAACGACGCCTAAGAATTGGCTCCCAAAGAAAGTTGTGAGTTTTATTGTTCTAAATTGGCTCCCAACTTTCGGAGGTAGTTATATTGTTACACATTGGCACCCAACGTGGGGCACATGGTATTAGAATGAAAATTTCTTTCTTAATGATTACACTTACAGCTGATTTGCGATATTTCCGAAGCGAACCAGTGTTTCCGTAAAGGCTACTGTGTAGTTTCGAAGTCCAAATCACTGGTAGCTCGTAAATTATCTTTGGTTGAAACTGCAATGTTCCATTGTGTCCAAAAAACAGACGGACCACGGTCGATAGAGACATATATCCAATTCCTGGAAAATTTTTCTTGCTTTAATCAAATTTGAAATTGGAACGTTTCCACTGGACACACTGTACGTTTATTTCTTGGAGTCATAATTCTGTATATTAAATTGCATAATTTATAAAAAATTTTGACGCGGCATTTTATTCTATAATACTTCAAATTTTAATACTGAAAAATATAAATGGACCTGTAATCCTTTATACTAATTTCTATACACAAGAGTTACCATACAAATATTAATCGTTACTTTTTATAATACGTAACCAAAGACCTAAATTTTTTTTACGAACAGACATAAACCTTGAAATACTACTACCCACATAGGTTTCGTTATTTGTACAGACCTGAGGCAGTAGATGTATTGGAATTTACAGATATTGAAGGTTTTTTATACGAAATATTGCTTATCCTAGGTTCCTGATTTCCTTGTTTAGATCTGTTGTTCTGAAACATAAAAACATAACATTTGCTAAATTTAATGTAATTTTTGCAAAAGTAAAACGCACATCTCAAAACACGATAAAAAATAAACATCTGGTAAAACTAAGCCTCAACTTTTTACTATGCAACAATTAAAAAAATGTAAAATAAAAATGTACCCAAACAGTACACAAACAAACCACCAAGCTACTTACAAGTCATTTTTCAAAATACGGCTACACTTTTTAAATTAAAATTTGAATCTCTAGCAAAGCAGAATATAAACGAATTTATTATGAATCATGTTACACATTTTGAATATATTGATGTTACGTGTATTTCTATAATTTTAGTCAACAAAATGATTATTAGTTGTAACTTAACTTAGTTGCTATTCTCTAATTAATAAAAAAACTAATAGAAGTAAAAAATGTTTCACAAAAGGTTTAAATCAGGTAACTATGTGTTAACGGACTTTAAATAAAGACTGTTTAGTTTAAACCAACACCAAATTTAAAGAAGAATTATAGTATATAAACTTCTATAAGAAGCACAACGTTGGACATCTGAAGGGAGGAAGTTATTCATACCTGATTATATAGTAAGTGTGAAGATAATAATATGGGAAAAACTAAAATGGGGTTCGGAACTGATCCTGAAACACGGAAAGCTGTTTGCAACGCAGGTTATGATTTAGAGATGTAGTGACGTTAACTGTGACGTGAATATTTGTTTTCTGGACTACGCAAAAACTTTCTAGAGCAAACTACTGAGCAATCACGAAAAGATGGTTCATATCCTGAGAAGTACAGGAGTGGATAAAAATAGATATAAGAATAGTAATCAATTTATATTGGAGACAAAAGGCGAATATACGAGTGGATGGACAGTATACTAGTTCAATTCAAATCCCGAAGAGTTCGTTAGGTCTCCATTACTGTTCAATCTATACTTAGAATTCAGATTTTTAAAGAGGACCTAGACCTTAGAAGATCTAGAAGAGGGAATCAAAGTGAATATGTTAAATAAAGTGATATGCAGATCGATCAGAAGAAGATGACACCTTATTAGATGGATGAAACCAGCAAGGTTTACAATTCCTTATCGAGCAACTGACAACTAACAATAAATGACGAATGCGGGGTGAAATTGAACATAAAGAAGGCGAAATAAATAGTTATAAGTAAGTCAACAAAGTTCACATATTTGGGGTCTATATTGAACGAACGATAGGCCCACTCTCAGGAAATAAAATGCCGAATCGAAAGAGTAAGAGCCATATTTGTAAAAGTGAAATTACTATATATATGCAGTCGAGACGTGAACTATTTCAGAAGCTATAAAGAAAATTATACAGGCATCGAGATGTGGATATACCGACGAATTCTCAAAACTCCATGAATCGCAAGAGTTACTAACAAAAAGTACTCAAAAGAATAAATTTTCAACCTTATCTGCTGATAACAATAAAATGTCAAAAATAATTTGCACACACTAGATGAAACGAAGTAAAATATGGGCAACTCCAGGGAAAGGTTAAGGGGAGACGTCCACGAAGAATTTCCTGGCTTGCAAACCTGCGCAAGTTGTTTGGAGCAACATCAATCGAACTGTTCCACAGCGCAGTAAATACAGTAAAGATCGGAACACATTGGGTACTGCCAGAAGAAGTTATTGACATGTAGTGTTATTAAGGCACCCTTCCAATATATTTGTTTTTTTTTGTACTCTCCATAGCTGGAAGATATAATCCCAAGGTATTTTATTTTCATTATTTGTTAAATGATGATGCCATCGATATTTAATTTATATCTACTTGGTTCTTTACTGATTACTGTTATTTTGGTCTTCTGAGTTAAGATCGACATATTAAATGTTTTTGTTCTTGTTATGAATCTGTGGACTAGTCTTTATAGACAAAAGAATAGAGCTCAACGAGTCCCTCAGTCTTATTCCGTTGCCTATGTTTATAGGTTCCTTAAGTTTTCCATGTCTTATAACTGTCATTTTGTTGTCTTTATTGTCTCCAAAACATGAATTAAATATTTGCTGGTATATTATGCTCTAAAAATGTCTCAATAATTTGCTTCATTACAAATATTGCATCTTTGCACAATGTTTCGGTACGAAAACCTGCTAAACAAGTTGGTATTTAATCAGTTGATACCTTCGCCATTTTTTGGCTATTATTTATCGCTTTTTTTAGACATTAGTTCGCAAATTCACCATTCTCCCGGTATTTTTTATTGTATTTTATCGTTGTTTCGTCATGGCTGCTCCACAATATTTTAGCAGTTTTTATGGTACCTCTTCTTTACTCGTAGCGTTTCTAGTCTTTAACTTCTAAATGTTCTTTGAACTTCCTGCGTGTTTATATTACCTTCTTCGTTTATATTTATTTGTGATGTTTTTGGTTCTAACATGATTTATGGTCCTTTTGTATATATTTTTAAGAAATCAATCCATTTATCCTTTTCTACGTTTTATTATATGATATACAAAATATTTAGTGGACGGACATCACCACGAATGTAACTAACATTTTTTGTCCCTCAGTATATCGTAAAAATTTTATAAGATTTTTGTTATAAACACTTTGGAACTGCGTTTTATTTTCGATCTAGTATCAATTTAATCCAATTGTTCATTCACAATGGCAAAATCGAAGTGTGTGTATGGGATATACCTCTGCGATGTGCCTCTGGCAGATGCCACTAGAAAGTGAGTTCTACGCACTGAAGCGAGGAATGATTAGCGTTTACCACTAAAATATTTAAGGTTACGGGAATTACCCTGGCAGCGAGGAACATTTGATTTTACCTACGTTTAGATTGTCTTGGAAGTCAGTCTTTCATTTTGATCATCTTGAGAGTCAGAAATCGAATCCTGATTTTGTGGCGGTGAGCCAGTTTAGGTCGCACCGGGATCTTATGTCCCGAGGCGACACGTTACCTGCAGGAACACCGCTTTGTCAATATAGTTGTTTCACTGGAAGTGTGTTTTCATTTTGAGGGAACTATTATGGTTTTCTTAATTTCTGTTTTATCTCTTGTTATTAAGATGAGTCGGTCAGATAGCTGGCGGCTGTGCGGCTGCCTCTCATTCGCTTCACTGTCGAATGGTTCAGTGGATGTGGGATCAAGCCCCAGCTCGGTGTACAGAAAAACAAAAAGGCTAACGCTGCAGTTTAAAATTATAGATGAATCTGCGGCTTAGACTAGAATATGCTGGGATCTGATCGGCCTATGGTGGAGCAGTACGGCAAGAGATAAGGGCTTGCGGCTCGGTGATACTCCTCCATAGATCCCTACCGGACGGGCGTAACGCCTAAAAAACCGGATATATATATATATATATATATATATATATATATATATATATATATATATATATATATATATATATATATATATATATATATATATATATATATATATATATATATACAGTCAAAATCGTTTACAACGACACCGGCTATAACGTACAATCGGATATAACAAACAAAATAGTAGGTCCCATAAAATGACATACAAAAAACGCATTTATATTGCTTATAATGAACAAATCGGTTAGAGCAAACGTATTTCTTGGAACACTAGTAGTTAAAATATTGGTTACAGCGAACATCTTAATAAATAAGTTTAAAAGTGCTATCCTGTAAAGTTATGAAAATGGACATTGTAGTGTTGTATTTCTCACAGGTATTACCGATATTTAATACCACGAAATGAGAAGTAAGGATTTATTAATTTATGGTTATAGTACATCCGGACAGGCATCTACTGTCCTTTAGACAGTTAGACCTCCCAAGACGGGTCCATTGTATTACAAAATTTTGTTTATACATATTTCACCATTTGGCCTAAGCCAAGAGTTTCTGAATTTGAATTCAGTTGTGTCTAGCCTTCATTGAAAAAATGTCACAGAAACAATTTACTATTGAGGAACAGTTTGGAATAATTTGCCGAGTCGATTCCGGTGATTTCGCGAGTTCGATTGCCCGGGAATTTAAAACGTCACGCTCGACAATTGCTGGAATAATGAAAAGGCGAGAGAAAATTATTAAGCAATTTATTAAGTGTGAAAAAGGAAAACGCGTTCGGTCATCAAATTACAGTGACATTGAAAGTGCTTTGCTCGATTGGTTTAAACAACAACGCACAAACAATGTACCCGTGAGTGGGCCGATGCTTCAGGTAAAGGCTGATGCTTTCGCTGTGATGTTGAAGAAGAATTTTAAGTGTAATGCTTCCTGGGTTCAACGTTTTCGAGCTCGCCACAATATTGTCCATGGCAAAATTTCAGGTGAATCAGCAGTTGACAGATCAATTATAAATGACTGGGTTGAAAATGTGTGGCCTACACTCAGGTCCGACTATAGCGATGATGAAATTTTTAATGCTGACGAGATGGGGTTATTTTTAGACTGACACCTGATCACACGTTAAAGTTTAAAGGCGAGAAATGTTCCGGTGGTAAACTTTCAAAAGAGCGTGTTACAGTTCTTGTTGTAGCCAACATGTCCGGTTCCATAAAAAGGAAGCTTTTGGTGATAGGAAAAAGTAAAATGCCGCGCTGTTTTAAAAACGTGAAAATTCTCCCTGTTGATTATGATTTCAATAAAAAAGCCTGGATGACGTCAGCTATTTTTGAAAAGACTTTACTAAAATGGGACAGTGAACTTTTACAACAAAAGAAACACATAATTTTAATTGTCGACAACTGTCCGTCCCACCCCCCAGTTGACAGGTTAAAACAAATTAAACTCGTTTTTCTGCCTTCAAATTGTACGTCTGTACTGCAGCCCATGGACCAAGGAGTTATAAGAAGTCTTAAAGCATGCTTTGGGAAAGAATTGGTGTACAAAATCATCGAAAAGAGAGAGAATAATGACGATACGAAAGTCAGTATTCTTGACGCTGTACTAATGATATCAAAGGCATGGGAATCTGTGAGGAAGGAAACGATCATCAACTGTTTTCGTTTTTCCGGCCTAACTAAAGACTTACAACCATCAGGAATCG